AGGATTAATAAGGTTAATTTTAGTGATTTCGGGTTTATATAATCGCTTATTGATTATAATTTACAGATATATGAAGGGTTATTTTTAAATCACCACTACTTGATGAAGAATGATCGTCGCTGAAAAAAATTAGAGAAATATTTCTGTTGCTTTACTGCTTGTTCGTACTTTTATATTTTCTTTCTATTTTTCTTTGCAATTTTTTTACATTTTGTTTGTTAACAAATTTATTTTCTCGCATTGACTTCCAATCAACTTTTTGACGGGTAGTTTTTACTTGTTGTTTACCGATTTACTACTGTTCAGTGTTTTTTTTTTTTAGTGTTATCTTTCTTTGGCTTCTTCATCCCTCTTTTTATTCTGATTTTGTCCGCTTTCTCTTTTTTCCTACTTTCTTGTTCTCTTCCTCCCCTTTTACTTCTGAACGCAAAGACAAAAGAAAGAAAGACACAAAGAAATTCAGTTATCTATTTGAATTTGAACCAAAATTATTTTCATCTTTTAAAGGGTATATATTTTTGTATTTGCAGCAGGTTTTATGAGGTCGAAAAAAGCAGCAAAAAGAATGGAACATTTTTACTTGTAATATTGTTTCAGAGTTGTGGAAAAAATGAAAATGAATGAAACGAAAAGCTCATTTTTTTTTTTAAATTTACTGATTTGTATCGTATATTTGAAATTTTTGTATTGTAGCGAGATTTTTTTTCTTTTTACTCTACTTTATATCATTTTATTTCTCGCTTTGTTTTATTGTCTTTTAACAAAGTTTTTTCTTCGTTATGTTCTATTTTCTTTTTATAACTTCAACTATTGCTCTGCATGTATCGTTTAAATTTGGAAAATACATGCGAGAAAAAACTTGGAATCAAGTGTTGGACTACTTTTTTAATTGTTGCTTTTCTTTGTTGTTCAACGCTTCCTGGGATTGGTAAGAAGAATAGTACGGAAGGCCAGTTGAAGAACAGTTTAAAGAAATGGGCTGTAGGGAAGGGAAGAAAGAAGGAAGGATATAGTTTTTGGTTCCCTTTTTGTCTGCTGTTTGTTTCCTTTGACCTGTAAAGAGTTGGAAAAATTTAGGCTGTTGTGGTGCGGTTATTTTTTTCTAGCTCTTTTTACCTGTTTTTTTAACATTACTTTTTATCAACATTGTACCTTAAACTGTAAAGTTTTGCATCGTTTTGCCAACCACTCGATATTTTTTTTGTAGTTCATGATAGGAAGGAAATGAATAAATTATCTGCTTTGGAGGAGCACAGTTGTGTTATGGTATTGTTTTTTGTTGTTGTTGTCATATTGTATGCAAACCGTATGCAACCGTATAAATCCATGATTTTTTCTTCATTTTCCCTTTCATTAATTTTTTTTGTAGGGCAGCGATGGCTTATATTCTCGATTTTTTTTAATATTTTACTTGCTCGTTTGTCGCCTGTGTTGTTCCTTTTGTTTGCTTCATAATAGTTGAGCAACAGATATATAAAAGTTTGTACATAGAATCGGTTGTTGGCAAAAATACACGGTACCTGTTGGCATATTACAGTTTGTTGTACAAAAAATCTGTTGAATTTTGCATCAGAAAGTTTGAAGAACGGTTTAGTTCAGGTCTTCTTTTCTTTCTTCTCTACTTCTTTCTCATTCTTTCAATTTTTTTTGGTGGGGGAAAGGGATTGGCGGGTACAGAGTGCGTATAATGTTTTTGCTGCTTGGGCACCCTTTTATTTCAAATTAAACATTCGTCGTCATTTACTTTTTATTTGGGATATTTTGGATATTATTTATTATATAGTTAAATTATCTCTCTTCTTTCCACATCTTAAATTTGCTTTATCTGATTATGAATTTGCTGGATGAGAGTTTCCCTCGTTTTTTTTATTTCACTGGGAATTTTAGTGTAGCGTCGAATTTTTCAAAGGCTGATGTTTGATTTTTTTTTCTTAAAATTGAACATTAGGATTACAATCATTTGGGGGTTAACATTTTGTCATTTTATTTTTTTTTTGGTTCTTTCTCTCTGGTTCATATTAACCATTTGGAGTTTTGAACATGAAATTAGAAAGATGAGTGGAAGAATTAGATAGCCGAGTGAATGACTGACTGCACTGTAACGGTGAAAAGAAAGTTTCATTCAAAAGTTTGATAATAACAGAAGATGTCACAAAAGTGTGTCTCTAGTTTTTGCATAAAATGCGAAACACATC